GACCGGGACAATGGGGACCATTCCCATTGTCTAAATCAGCTTCGAGGGGGTCTTGCACCTGCCAGCCCGCTCGCAGGAGGGTTTCACCAGGACTGGTGGGACCCCTGATGTACCCACCATCAGGAAGAGGGGCCAGTCCCTCCATTAGCTCCTATTCTTTTAAAAAAAAAAAAAGAACAGAATTTCTTGTCATGTTCTACATATGATACATTCTAGTAATCGTAAACTTCTGCTATCCCCGTGCAGAGATCTATATCGGATATGGCAGAGGGGAGCAGTTCGTCATCTTGGTACTCTGGAGTTCTCTTCTGAGTAGGTTCCAGAGTCAAGATTTATATATAGTTCAGATGAATATATGAAGACCCTTTCCAGCTGATGGTACACCACAAACGAGCTAACTGGTAATGTGCTGGCCCTTAAGCGGCCCGGAAGATGGCGGGCCACTACTGGCAAGTGGGACATGCGGCTGGGGGCCTACAACCTAGTCAAGGTGATGGGCCACCAACTCTCTTCCCCAAACGTAGTTGGTGGTCCACCACCTTAGCGCTACTTGGGCTTCTTTCTACATCATAGCGTGATGGTTCCCTCGCTCGTCGACGAAATTTCTGGGATTCGAATCTCTGTTAAGACGAAATCGAATTGCTTTCGGTGAATCTCGTTGGGGATTTTAAGGGGGGGGGGCCCCCCCCCCCTTAAAATTTCATTTCGTTTCATTTCATTTCGATACACATTTCGTCGGCGAACGCTGTCTTGGGTGAAAAAGTTTCGTCACGGAGTCGGGATTGAAAGATCGATCTCGCCCCGAATCGAGGCAGGTAAACAAGGGAATGGGGAGAAGGCACGGCAAGGCCCGATGCAAAATGGATCATCCATTCCCCGGTAATTTATTGAAGAGAGCAATCGATACGGGGGATCTATTACGGCCCGCTGCGTCTTCTCCTTTCCCAGTTTTCCCCTTGCGGGTGATCCGTTCGAAGCTCCGTCGCCATGGTGAGTCGGGGGTGATTAATCAGTTCATTAGCGGCTGGGGTGATGGAGGCCTAAGTGTTTGCATGTGTGTATTATTCATATGCATGTATTTGATCATGTGTGATGAATGGACTGATACATGACTGATACACGTACTTGCAGGATGAGGCTGTTAAAATTAGTGATCGGTTTCCTTTTTTATTTCCGTGTTTATTTCTACGAATGGATCCGATACTCTTCGATTTCTGCCCGCCTTGGCGATTTCGCCTCCTGAGTTTGAGCGCCATGCATTTTAATCCTGGAAAAGGTGCCGATAAGGGCTGCTTCTGTATGTGGATGTATTTCACAGGCCTGAAAAACCGGGAAAAATCAGGAAAAAAAATAGAGATTAAGTCCAGAATTCAGTAAAATTGTCCCAACTCCGGAAAACGAATGAGGAAGGTACCATTTTCCTATGGACCGTTGGTCATTGGTCCCCCACCGATTTCGATGACCATGTGGCTTTATCATTTGAATTTCCATTTTCATGCTGAATAGAAAAGTCCTAAGGGATTTTTTTTGCGGAAAATAAATATTTTCCAAGTTATTAGAGAAAAATTATAAAAACGGAACGGAGAAAAAAAAGCATTCGGGTTTTTAGCCAAAAAATATGATTTTGTGCTGCCCTCTCCCTATCATGTGAGGGAAAACCCGAAGTGAACATGAACGATAAAAAAGTAAAAGGTTGAACACTAAATTAATAATGTGCCGATGCCATCCAGATAGACAGGAGTTGAAAATTTCATTAAACCGTCCGGTGATTCAACCCGGATGTCTTACGGCTGATAGTCCCAATTTGTGTCCCGGGGGAGGGGGGGGGGGGGGGGGGGGGGGTGGGGGAATGAAAACATTTTTCTTCGCTTCGAGAAGGCAGAGGGAGTGAAGAGGAAATTTAAGAGAGAATCAAGTGATTCGATCCACGATCCGACGAGGAACGACGTGACCCTCGAACAGGGTAAGTAGAAACCGACACCACTACCGTTCGGTGCGATCGAGGAGCATCTTTTTTATCATCTATCTGGTCCAATGCCATCCGTTCTCCTTTCCCTTGAGGGGAGAGGGTGGTTTCCCTTTCACACCTCCGTCTGACACCGGCGCGACGCTCCGGGGGAGAGGGGGGGAGAGGGCAGACATCACGTATGAAATCTCGATAAGACGTCTGACGAGTGCCATGAATTCCAAGGTCTGTCACTGATGGCCTCGAGCTCCTTTCTGAGGTTTTGACGGGCTGGTGACGGCACACAATGAGCTACCACGAAGAAGGGAATGCCGGCGTGGCAAAGTTGGGCCGGTTGGACGATGCCGGTTTCGTGTTCCAGGCGGTATTTTGCCGTAGCGAGTCCCGTTTTCCGCCTATAGGAGGAAACGATGAATTTATGATTTGCGCTGGAGTGGGCTGCAGGTGCGACGTGTGTATTTCCAGGCATGCGTGTCGTTACCTTGCCTGAAAAGCCATCATCGGAGCGAAATCGTAGCCGTTCGCTGGGGTGGGCTTCGTGCACGCAGGGTTAAAAAGACAATTTATAATGTTGGTACTTAAAAAAAAAATGGCATGCATCCTGCCGCGTAGAAACTTACGAATAATTGAAGAAAATGTGAAAGTGTGAGCCTCGTCAGAGGAAACAGGCGGTCGAGATTGCAGCCGACGACGAGTCGAATTTCACCGGCGACGATAACGGTGACAGAGACAAGGAATTTTGATTTTCTTCCGAAGAAGACGTTCCCTCTATCACTGTGTCCCTTCACAATATAATATTTTGACGGATGAGGATGGCATCGGGAGGCTCGACTGAATGTCCCGGGTTCGGTGGTGTAGTGGTAGCACACCTGACCGGCAATCAGGAGGCCCGGCCTCAATTCCCGGCCGTTCCTTGGCTTCTTTCGACCTCTCATGCCGTTCGTCTCCCACTTTCCCACCAATAGTAATAATTGATTTTTTTTTTCAAAAGAGTCTAAGAGTTCTAAGGATCCCTTCTCGAAGCCAAAGGTTATATATAGCATTCCAAAAAAAAAATAAAACGAGCGGATTGGTATCCCCAGCTGGGAAAAATGAATTCGGGATTAATACTTCCCCGAATGGGGGAATGGGAATTCGAAGCGGAGCCACGCGTGATCCTCTCTCTTTCGCACTTCCTCCCTCGAAGCTCCATTGAAGGTCACATCCCTAATGAATTTTACGTCAGCGAAAACGAAGGAAGCTGCAGGCTTTTGAAGTCGAAGGAAGGCGAAGGGAGATGAAAGTTGGGAAAATTGACTCATCCAGGTTCGTGATCCGTCATTACGTTCGGAAACAGAACGATATCGTTGGTTGAATTTAAAACTCGGAAATTTAGCATTAAACGTCCCGTTTAATGCTAAATTCCCGAGTTTTTAATTAATTGTATTTTTCGCAAGAGATCTTTTTCTTCATTCTTCTCACGATGGAATGTTTATTATTTTATGAATGGTTGAGACCCCGAAGTTTCGATGCACTTCGACGCGTATCCTTCGAACGTTGTCTGTGCCTCTCCGTCCATGCAGTTCGCAGCACATGCAGAGTCGGTCGATGAGCAAAACAGGCGAAAAGATGGAACTCCAGCAGGAAACAGCTCAGAGGTGGCATTTTTCGCGGAAAAGAATATTTAAAGAAAATACTAAGAAGGTGAATCCATCGATCCGCATCGGAGGAAGTTCGTAGCTTTCTGCAGGGACAAACACAACCCTCTGAAGCAGAATCGCAAGAAGAAAAAAAAACCCAACAAATTCGTTATCGAACGAGTTTCTTTTTTTTTCACACAGAAAATCATACATAAACAGACTCGACCTACAAATAAATTTTCAAGAGGTCTCATCCACTACTCACGACCTCTCGCGAAGGACTCCGGAAATTCCCCTTTTCGTGGGGAAGCATTCACAGCGACTGTAAGCGGACATTCATTCCAGTTATGGGCTATACGTGACGGGGATGCACTCTCACGTTTCGCTCCTCCGGCGTGAATGCGGCGGACCGGCGGGGTCAGTGATGTCCGGACGACGGAGGGCGGAGTCGCCCGGATTTGGCATCACTGACCACACCCCAGAGTTCGATGATGAAGTCATCCGTGAATCCGAATGCCTCGAGGTCCGAATTGTCGATGGCCTCCGCGAATTCCATCGTGTTTGCCTTTCCTTGAGCAAGCTCCCAGATTTGAGTCGCTTTAAAAAATAATTATTCGAATAAATATTTCGGAACATTTTTCTAACTTGAAAATTTAGAAAAAAAAATAGACGGTTGGACTCACCCAACTCGGTGTCGTTGATACCCAGGAAGTTCTCCAAGAGGTTGTTGATTTTGGAAACGGCGGCTTGAACGACGTCATCGGGCTGCAAAAAAAAAAAACCGGAACGCACAAAATTTACCATGCTGTCAACTTGATTGGAAACCCATCGGATTATTTTTAAGTCTTTGTAATATGGACAAAGATGAAAATGAAGTCTACTGTTTCCTAAACTACAGTCCTTAATTTTCTTTGAGTTTCCGGAGTATTCTCAGAAGTTATCCGAAAATTTCCATTGGTGTCGAGGGGAATCCATTCTGTACATAGTTTCCATTTCCTTTCCTATCGAATCCGAACCTCCCTTCATGGCAACTGTTTATTAATAAGTAAAAAAAAAATTGAGAAAATATGCGCCATTCAAAGCACAAATAATGATATTTTGGGAAATACTCCAGATTCAGGTCATTCGGATATTCCGGATTCAACCCGGCCGCACCTCTCTGACCCTTCGAATCTCAGAAACGAAACGCGCTTCTTCGACGGTTACCATTTCGTATGGCTCAGTAGGCATCGTGAACCATCGCGAAGACCATCATTTTCGATCGGTCCGTTTCCGAGATTCGTGAGGTTTTCTTTAATATGTGGGAGGTGGCCTTATTCAGTTCCCGTTCATTTTCAATTCCAATTATTCAACTGAACTCTCAAGAAAATAATCGCGAAATTCCTTCATGCCGCCAATAGCGCGGCAAATGTTCTAGAACAGTGATGAGCAACCTTTCTTGACTGCGGGCCGCACGTCAACCTTTTAGGTTCCCGGCGGTCTGAACGTATTTATTTTTTTGTATTTTTTTTAAATATTTGTTTAAAATAATTTTAAATTTTTTGTATTCAGGTTGAATACCAAAAAAATAACCCTAAGCCTGGTTTAGTAAACCTTGTACTAAAGTTTCAGATGCTAACAATATGCTACATGTGAAAATTTTCTCACCTTTTATTGAGCTAAATACCAAGCAAGCCGCTTGCTCAGAGAGCAGTGATAAACTGACCACGAAGAGAGCGAGGGGATATTTGCAGCTGTGGCGGAAATACAGGGTGTGCAAAATGTTCTTGCCGTGATATTTTGGTTAGAACTTTGCTGTATTTCAACCCAATTCCATCAAAATTGTATCACACATAGAAAACCTATATGGCACCAATACATTCAAAGGACTTTTTGAAATTTCTTTCCGTCGGCTGAGATACAGGCTTTCAAACGCTTTGGAAAGTTGTCCACTGTGTCCGTCAGCTGTTCGACCTCAATGTCGCCTCAAGCCTTAAGCAAACCCTTTTTCAGCGAATCCACACTGCTGTGCGATGTTGGGCACGCCTTCTTCTTCAAAATGAACCACACGGTGAAATCCATAGGGTGAGATCTGGTGAGTTTTTAGCACCAGACATCTTTCCCCCAGGATTCGGAAACGGCTCTTTGCAGAGCTCCATCGTCGTCTTTGCTATGTGCGCGGGCGCCCAATCTTCTTACAGCGTCCATTCATTTTCGTCGAAATGGTCACGTGCTCAGGGGTCCAGGACTGCCCGCCGATGCGGTCTTGATACACAGCTGCATTGATATTCACCACTTTTTCCACAAAAACCAGAGGAGTCTTGCCCATGGCACAAATTCCAGCTCACTGCGACCTGCTCACAGTTGCGGCTCTTCAGAGCAGGTCTGGACCCCTGGGCACGTGACCATTCGGCAGTGTGGATTCGCTGAAGAAGGGTTTGCTTAAGGCTTGGGACGACATTAAGGTCGAACAGCTGACGGCCATCGTGGACAACTTTCCATAGCGTTTGAAAGCCTGTATCTCAGCCGACGGTGGAAATTTCAAAAAATCCTTAAAAGATATTGGTGCCATACATGTTTCCTATGTTTGATAAAATTTTGATGGAATTGGGATGAAATACAGCAAAGTTATAACCAAAAATATCGCGGCAAGAACATTTTGCGCACCCTGTATAGTTGTTTTACTTTCCTTTTTTCGTTTTTCCTGCAGTGGGTAACGGAATCCTTGAGCGCACGTACACTCTACTCCGGATGACAGATGACAAGAGGCAAAAAAAAAATATTAAGTTGGCAAAACTCCGCGGTCCGCCGGTTGCTCACCACTGTTCTAGTAATACCCAAATTTCATTCCATTCTTTCTTTTTTTTTTAAGTCCTTAGACTTGAAAAAAAAAAGCAGGGGGAATGCGAATTCCTCCTGGGCATCGCTATCTGCACTTCTTCCGCACCCCAGCATGCAAACTGATTGTGCCATTTGTGCCAGTTCGTTTCTGAAAGTGGCTCGCTCGGAAATTCACGCAAGTACGATCCTATAGCGAAAACTTGAACCATTCAAAACATGACGTCCGTGCAATTCTTGCATCCTTTTATCTCATTGCAGGTTTCAGTCATGTAATGCTCATGTATCATGAACGTATACCGCATACCATAAAAGTTACTACTGGAATGAAATGAAGATTGCGGAAAGTGCAAAATGCACTTTCCTTTCTTCCGATGCACTTTCTGATGCAAAAGTGCTGACGCCAAGTGTGAAGGTTTTCCTGACCGAGTCCTTGTCCCTCGTGGAATAGCGAATCATGATGGCGTCAAAATCGAGGGACAAAAAGGGAAAAGAGACGGGGGGCCAGTGACCGAAAAAATGCATCGTCCACGATGAATCGGCGAAAGAGCGGAATGAATGATATAATAAGCAGGCTCCATCCCTTCCCGGAAGTCGGACGAGGATGGAAACCTCGAAAATGGTTTTCCACACTTCGCAAATGAGAATTCCATTAGGGAAGGGCTAGGATGCATGATGGACGTACGGCCTGCTCGATGCTGGCGGGTGCATTGCTCCTCAGCCGAAGGGTCTCTCGTCCGGTGCCGTAGTTCTTCTTGCTCCCTCTCGTCTCGCTTTTCGGCCCGATGTTTGCTGCGCACATCGGAGATGATATAAATGACGTAAGATGTTTTAAACATCATAAATGAATATTAAAACTTGATAAAATATTTTTTTAAATAAGAACATTGTTGGACGCTCCAAAATGAGCGAATTACCTCATATGAAACGTGCAATATGTCCTCAAAATTTGTGAAACCTTATGTTTTTCATTTTTGCATGTAACACGATCCGATAGCTAAAATTGGCAATACAATTTTTAATATATATAATATATCTGCACGTCGTTCCTGAAGGATTTGTCTTAATTTCCATATTCCTTTTCGTTATTTCTGAGAAACAAGGGTCCGAACTAGAACAATCCCGTGTTTCCCGAGATAATAATTCCTTGAAAATGAGGGGTTAACATACGCAGATATGGGGGCACTTCAGCCGGAAATTTATTTTATTTTTTTTTTTTGTTGTTGACAAAGGGCGAGCAAATATCCGGGTGTGGCATCGAAACGAGCCGCTCTTCGGAATTATTTGACGTTCCTGAGACAGCAGATAGCCTTTACGATGTCTCCTTTATTTGAAATGACTTCTATCTATCCTCTCGACATCTGATTATTCTTGTTCATTTTTTCTCCGGTCGTTTTACCGCAAGCGCAATTTAAAAAAAAAAGGCAAGTCGCAAAAGGGATTTAGCATCGATTTTGCGATTAAAGTTCCATAACTAAATAGATAAAAGTTCCGTCATTGGTATAGGAGAAAACCTAGAAAAAATATTTATCCTGACTCGGTTTCGTTTTGAAAGTGAAGCACTTCAAATGTAACATTTGAAGAAAGAAGAGTTTAATGATGGTTTGCCGTTTCACACCGTCCTTTAAACTTCCTTAGAACCTCCTAAGTCCTCCTCCCCTCCTCATCCCCTGTATTCATGCCGAGGACTCCAATTTTTTTTTTTTTACTCCTATATTCCGCGTATGAAGCTTGAGTCCTAAGTACTCAGCTGTACTTCCATCATCAAGAGTGCTGCAGGTTTCTGAACTGCAGCAAATAACCAGCTGCGCTAGTCGATGAGAGACTCGGGCGCCTCCTATGCAGCCTGAAAGGATCTCTCGTGACAGTGAGCCGAATTCCCTGTAATTTTCTTGGTGCCGGTCGGTGCCGGTCGGCACCAGAAGAAGCCGGTATCGCAACTTCATTTCCCCTTAATGGCATTTCATTAAAACATTAGTGGCGCGTGATGAGATGCGAATGGCGGGATATTAGAATCACCCTTCATCCTCTTCCCGCATGCTGATGAATAAATCACCTCGTTAAATAAACGCCTAAACAAACACCCATACAGCTGTCCATGACATTAAGAGATGAGCAGGTGTCTCGATGAATATATTTGCATTGAAATCAAGTGAATGCGCGCTACAACTACCGCAGTCCACGGTTGATATGTCCTTTATTCTATGGATGATATACCCTTTATTCGTCCTGCTCGCTGCTCTCTCTGTTCGATTAAACGATTTCATGAATGTTTTTGGAGAGATTCTAGACGGTTTTCCCAAACGGAAATGCATCATGGATAAATTAGCACGACCAGACATAGGTCAACCCATGTTGACGGTGTGTGACACCATGTGCTGATGGAGTGTCAACACATATTACCACGTGTAAATAGAGAGTAATTTCAAAACATGTTCAAGGAAAAAAAGGGTTTTGTGAAGTGCTCCAGGCATGCCAACCACTAAGTGGCAAAAAATTCCTCGTGACCCCGGATCACTTCTGTGGTGCGCAAATTACAAAGAGGAATTAAATCTGATAATTAAGTAATTTCCTGCTCTCAGAGATGAACAGACGAACAAAGACGAAGATTGCACGCGAATGCTGTCATCATCGACACTACTCGGGCGTGATGTCATTTCTCTCAAAAGCCCCACATGAAATCCGCGAATTATTCTTCTCCCTAGGCGCCAATTACGGGTTGATTCACAAGTAAAAAATCTTCACAATATGCTTCCGTAATAAATAAAAAACTCTATTATTCATATTGCTTATCCTGGTAATTGACGATCATATTGGAAACGAAAACGAAAACAGCTGAAGATACTGAAGCAATGAAAACGTTTCGGAGTCGGAATTGAATCCCAGCTCAATTTTTTTTATAAATTGAGTCGGGATTCAATTCTGAAGTTCCTTGCGCAATTGTTTTCTATTTGTCGCAGCCCAGATTTTTCCAAGTAAAATTTGACATTTCCCCGTTTTAATCAACTAACATTTCGCTCGCAAATCTCAGATCCTCATGATTGCATGGAGTCGACCTGGAATTTCATTGAAAGGCGACAACAGGGATTTCGTACCGAATCCGGCTCGCAAGGGTTCGACAATGGTCATGGTAAAGGTCGTGCCCTTGGGGATCTCCTTGAGCATCTTGGCCACCTCGTAATGCCGGCAGTTCACCAAGCTCTTCCCGTCGATACTCTCGATATGGTCCCCGACCTACTCGCAGAAAATTTTTTAAATTTTAGGTCACGACACGCGAATGGACGAGAGATGGCGACAGAGCCTCACGTGGAGCCGGTTTTCCTGGAGTCTGTCGACGACGCTGCCCTCCTTGATGCGTTTGATGAATGCATAGCCGGCCCCGTTGTCCGTGATGGTCAGGCCGAGGGCGTCGTCCCATTTCTCCACCTCCACCTGTCTCTTATGCCCTGTGGCACGAAACCAGACGAAATATAACGCATGTAACGCTGCCCGATCCGGGGCGAGGGGGACAGATCCGAGGAGCCACGGTGACCTTTCTTATGAGCGAAGATGAAGTCTGTGAGGGCGATCTGACCGCCGAGCAGGTGGTTCATGTCCACCTTGTGAGTATTGAGTGTGCAAAAGAGGATCTGCAAAGGAAAAAAAAAAACGAGTGCGGATTATCCCAAGGCAAAGAAAGAAAAACGGGGTCAGTCGGTGAACACACCCAGAGGCTCCCATATCATCCCGTTATCCTCGAGGTAACGGGCTGATATGGGAGAAACCGCGTTCCCATGCTATACAGGCCATCCTGCACATGTTACCCCTCGATGAACAGGCGCAATCATATTGGGTGCAGCCAGCCCAAAGGAGTCGATCGGTCTATTGCGTCACACGCTGATCCTGACCTTTCTCTTTCTGTAACACATTGCAGGCACCTTTCAACCCCCATTCGTCATGATCGTTCGACCTTGCCCTTGCACGGATTATTGGAATCCGAAAGAGCTCGACGTCACCGGGCCGCAAATCCACATCAGACCCAGTCGCTAATTCGCACTCGCGAGCTGAAATGATTTCGCGCGAAATGCGATATTTTCCATCTCTACGAGAGTTAGGAAACTGTTCCGGCCCCCACGCCAGAAAATCTGCAACGGCGACAGTCGCCGATCGCAGCGACGCGAGCATCCGCCGCGATGGAAAGGGCACAGACGCGAATGACCCGTGCAAGTCTTTGTTGTCGACCGTGGCCAAGGAGAGAACACAAGGCCGGAGTCGTAATTGAATCGTCTTGCTCCGCTGAACCTCTTAATGGTCGCCCTTTTCTCCCCTCGTGAGAAACCAAACGGAGATGGAGAGAGAGCATGACCTAACGAATGCCAAACAATAACACTTCCTCATAAATTCCTCTTTTACTTACCGAAAAGATCGTTATCTTAGTAGCCGGACTAATTGGCGACGCAAATTAAGCAAAAAAGTGAATGAATGACATGCGTCGGATTTGAACTTTTCTTTCATTTCATAATGGAATTCCACGGGAACAAGAATGAAGCCGTGCTATGAAATCGAATCAATCTCGCCCATACCACACAATGCGTTCCCCCCCACCGGGAAGGTCATCGTCACTCGCGTGACGATACGATCGACGAATCTCGTTTCGTCACGATCGTGAAAGCATGCCATTATGGCCGAGATGCGGACGACGGAGCGAGGAATTGCGCGTCGCTTCGTGCGTGTCGCTTCGTGCGTGCGCTGTTCACGGTGGGTTATCGCCTGCGGGGGGAAACCGGAAACGCTCGCCGAGATTATTTCCATGGGACGTATGGCGGATTTTTATAATTATTTTTTTATTTTTATTTTTTAAATCTCCCTGGCCTCTGGATCGGATGAGTTCGTTTGTCGGTCATGGTTTAAAGCCTTATCGAGTCTCAACTCGAGAACTTAAATATTTTCTGCAGAAGCCGAAGCCGAAAGCCGAAAGCCGAAAGCCGAAGCCGAACAAGTAAAACACTGTTGGGAAATCGGATGACACTATCTGGCCGGGGTCTTCTGGATCGTAAGGACCAGGATACAGCTTGTTGGCACACATTCAATGACGTTTCCTTGCGGTACTCGAGATATCGGTTGATATTTACGGAATGCTTGATAAAGAGCCCCTTTCAGTGATCCTCCTGGACCCAGGAAGACACCCTGGCTTAGATATGACACGGATATGAAGTAGAAAATGCAGCGGATATTGAGTGCTCCGAGACACGAGTGCTCCTCTTGGACCCGTATCTTCCCGTATTCTTCAAAATTCCTAGGAAAAGGCAGAACGAGAGAATTCCCCGGAACGAGCGGAAGAAAGCCATCGAGAGAAGGAAATGCCCCAGAAAAAAAGCTATCATCTGCTGTCTGGACCGCTCTTGAAAAAGCGAGAGCCGAATGACAGCGCCGAAAGCGAAATTAATCCCAAGGTGAAGACGTCAGCATTTCCTCGGGAAAGGGGGCATGACACGGTCCCATGCAATTCCGCATGACACGGTCCCATGCAATTCTGCATGCACGACTCGTCGAGCATGGAGGAGGACGAACGAGAATGAAAGGGAATCGGTGCGCTTGTCGCTCCTCGGGGATTCTTCCCACACGTGTCAAAGCGAAGCGAACTGTTTGTTGAGTGTCGCTGGCGAACTGCTATTTTTTCCCGCGTGCAAAAAAAAAATGGGTCGACGTGATCAAGGGGTAACAAAAGGATGTCAGAATTTTAGTTTTATGCTCGTGGATGTCGGGAATGTATTGAATAACTTGACTGGTCGTCTGCATCTCGGGTGAGATTTGGAACGCCTGAGTCTGTATCAACTACGACGAAATGATATTGCGATAATAAAATGGAATATTCCCCCGTGAAGTGCTCTCCCGTGCGTCATCGGTCTAAGTGGCCACTGCGAAGTAGGACGTCACTCGCGTCCGGGACTCAGAACTTACGCTGGATTTTCTTCGAATGAGCTTCGCTTATTCCAACAGTATGAGGTCCTTTTTTTTCTTATCAAACTAATGGTTCGGCGAGATGCTTTTGCGATTCGTAGAAGCTTTCATCGTCGAATCTAAATCCCAACGAGACGAAGAGTCATAATTCTTGAGGCCAAAGACCATCAAATAGGAATACTCAGACCCGGCATGTTTTCGACGTTCACACGAGCTGCACTGGTACATTGAGGAAAGGGGCTCACTCAATCAGTTAGGAATTTCTATGTCTAAGATATTGCCGGGGGTTACATCACCTTATCATCGCCTACATCACCATCACGTTTTTCATCCATGAGTACTTAGGACAATGGGAGAAATCGTCGATTTTAAATTCCGACCCTATGCATTTTCTTCTGCATTCTCAGAAGAAAACGACAGGTGACGCACGCCCCTCACGTGCGAGGAGTACGAAACCGGACCTTATAACGGGCGAGACGCCCCTCTCGGACGAGGTGGCGAGGTTTAGAGGAGGTTTAGAGGTGAGGCAGCGCAATGAAGCGTGCAGTCGAGGGAGTAAATCTCTTTGCCGGAAAAATGCATCGCCGTTGGCGCAAGCGCTCACTCATCCATGGATGTTTTATACTGATGTGACGCAGCCCCTCCCTCCTACTGTTTCGTGCCTCGGCCATGAAAGAGCCGGAAACGTGACAGTATGCAGAAAGCAGGGGACCTCGGCCCGAGCGACACGCGAGAGCGAGGCGCATACTCGTCAAGCATCGTCAAGCATTGCTCAAGTGCCTTCAGATTTTCAGCACTTCGAGCCCGACACCCCTCATCCAAGCCCGTGGCGCACCGGAATCACCAGGGCGTTAACGTTTGCAACGCAGGCACGATGAAGTTGGGGAAGTCATTTTTTAGCGTCTCGGTCCGTAAAAAAAGAAAGTTTTACACCGAGTGCGGTAGTGGCGACGGTGGGTACGAACGCCGACCGTGGAGCGATATGTGGGGCAATGAATCCGCGAAGAAGCATGACTGGCCAAGAGGATCATAGGGAAAAAGTGTACTCGTTATCTAGGTCCACCCCGATTCGCTTCGTGGAGATGGTTTTTCCTCCCATGGTCCCGCTGCCTCCCCGTTACCACGTGCCATGGGGAACGAGTTACCCCGCTTTACGCCCTTCCTTGCTTTTTCCTGGTTCCCGGGTGGAAATGTGGCCGATGGATTACAGCGAGTTTGGGTTAATAGTAACTTTCGCATTTAGGTGAAACTTCAGATTTTTACTGATGCCTCTGGCAAGGAACTAAGAAAAAAAAAATTGGATCTTATCGGATCTGGTCAGATGCGAGCTAATTTGAAGCTCCGCAATTTTGTATCAACCCTAACGACTGACGCCATGGTATTTGCTATTGACAGTAACATAGGAATCTCTTTTTCTCTTCTCCAGATTTTATCTTGTCATTTGCAACCAGTTCCGCGTGACATGCAATGGCTGGAAATATCTTCCATCTGTAAATATTGAAGACCATTTATTATCTTTGACTTGTATATATGCATTCAAGTCTCATATTTAATTTAATCCCTGTAAATATGGATAAGTAAATTATATGCATCCCTTGAGGAAATCGACAATTAGAGCTGAAACTAAGCCTTTTCGTAGGATTCCTGGGTTCTTTTCAACAGAGCTTACTCCCTGTAATTGAGCATCGTCTAGTTATATTGTTATTCCATGAATAACATATGGTTTCGCTCCGCAGCTGTTGCGGTTCGCATAAACGTTGATAATTGGGGCTAGTGACGGTGGAAAACCAGAGTGCGACGTCAGCCATACTCCTCTGCGGCAGACGCCATCGTATTGGGACGCCCGTCCCACAGGCGCTATCCGCGGGATTCGTGGTGGAGGGGTAATTACGACGTCCGGTGTCAATGGGGTTGCGTTTCTTGGCGTCTGACGTCTCTGTCGGCATTAAGATGCTGATGACCTTGGGAAGAATGCGGTGTGAGGCAATACACCGTGGGAAGCTGTTATTAAAACCCTCTAATTGTTTATAAATTGCCTGCATCGTAGAGAGTGCGCTTCTTTACAACGTGAATCGCTCAAGCATTTCTAACTATAGGAAGATGATCGATGATAGAGGTTTCTTCGATGCATGAAAATCGACTTAAATTAGACACCCTACGCAAGTGAAGTGGTGGCGACAAGACGATCGCCCTCCGGCAGGGGCGTTACCAGGAATTTGGATTGGGTCAACGGCCAAACTAAAAGCAGGAAACGAGCAAGTGAGGGTTGTGCCGATGTGGTTGGGGAAATACTATGGAAATAGTGCCGCCTCGTACGAGGGACTTCCTGGTTGAAATGACGTCAGTCTGGACGAAAAAGAGATTTTGTTTTCGCAATGCTCCGGATTCCCGTTCCGGAATCTCCTTTAACGACCTCATGGGCATGACAATAAAAAAAAAGGAAGCAATATAGATGTAGATAGCCAGGGAGCATGAAGACATGCCAAACAAACAAAAAAAAATTAATTGTGGAGGGGGAGGCTTATCTTAGATGCGTTGAGTGATTAGAATGAGCTCAAGAATACAAGCAAGAATGCCTCTCGATAACTAAGCCCGCCCCTTGAACCTGAATATATCAGATGGTAGTCATTCCAGAGGGTTTACTCTCTGTGCTACCCTCTCCTCTGGGTGCACCCTGACACTGTTTATATGTAGGATGGAAGAATGCAACATCAAATTCTATGGGAGAATCGCCACATGGGAAGAATCAATGGCAGAAGTATTTAAAGCATCGATAGTACTTTTCTAGGACGCGCCATCACCGCGATATCTGCTAGACCTCAAGAATGACCTCCACGCTATCTTGATGTGTCTCAAGGTCGCGGAGGACAATGCCTCTGTGAGATTCGTACGCTTCGGATGCCAGGCACTAGAGGAGAGATGCTTTGTACCTTTCTCAAACCGATTCGTATTCGTTGCGTAATCACTTGTACCCTTCCTGCATCGAGATGGCAGGAGAGTGCGAACATTATGCGGTGCGATCCGGATCATTAAAAAAAAAATTACTAAGTATTGTGCAACTAATGTGTAGCAATTCGAAAGTTAATGGGAAACATTTTACGAACAATACGACTCATTCATCGACGCCTGGTTTATTTTGGTTATATGCTGTTTATTTTTGTTTCGATCACGCTTCAAGTAACTAAGACTAATCCCAAGAATATTCGGAACATTCTTTTCTGAAATATTTCAAGAATTAAATATCTTTCCAGACGCTATACTCCGGGCCATGATTCCCCCGTAGAAACCAAGCATTTTTTGGGTCCACCCTGTAACAGAGGATATGACATAAGAGGCCCCACCTACTTTTAACCTTGTGAGTACTGGTCTACCCGGAGCTTTTGTAAAATGAAAATAGACACGTTTCCGGCATCTTTATGCAAATTCAAATTGTTTTTCATGCAAGTTTGTTCTGTCAAAGCAAGACTATTAAGGAACATTAAAAAAATAGGAAATTGAAAGCGGATGGACATGCAGCGTAACGAGATTCTGCTTGCCTCTTCCTTTAATTTTCCTGCGGAAATTCATCGAAACTCCAAGCAAGCTCTCTCTCTCTCTCTCTCTCTCTCTCTCTTTCTTGATACCAAGCTGCTATTACATGAATCCATCTGCTATTGATTGGGGAAGGGCTTTGTCAAATCCATCTGCAACAAGACTTTCCCTCTAAGACTGAATTTCAATTGAAAAACGTTCGATGGGATGAATCTTGAAGGTGTTTCTCCCGGGCATATTTTCATTAACTATTTATTATTATATTAACTATTGTATTTTGAATAATTGTGCCTGGGCAAGGCTCATAACCGAGGCGCACTGAAAATGAATGAAATCTCACTCATCTCCTGGGAACATGTTAGCTAATTCACAACGCAATTTTCGAGGAAATAACAGGAGTTAAAGCAGAAACGCCAGCTAAATGTCTTCTTGCCAAACGCTGTGCAAATTTTGCTTCTGTCCATTAAGTTACAATCCAACTTCAAAAAGTTGTTTCGCTGCGCTAGAGGTATATGAGCAAAAATCCGGCTGTTGATTCAGGTGTGATAACTTAAGAAAAAAAGTAATTTAAATACATTGCGGGACAAATTTAATAAATCTTAAAGTAGAAAAGTCACGAAAATCTGCAAATTCAGAAATTAGCGGTCAATAACAGACCCTGTAACTAGAAATTGATTTTCTATCGCGTAAAGAGCGCAAGTTGGAGGCTCTTTGAAATGCTTTCTATTTTAATTTTGCACCGCAATTTCTCCTTTAAAAAAAAATAAATCGATTTGATTCGCCCTTTAAGCATTTTACACTTATCTGAAATATACAAAAAAAGGGACCGTTTTATCAACGCCTGATTAATTTCTTGCGCACCCAGTGCCGGAAATACTGAGATTTTAATTATGAAAAGAAAAATATGAACTTTCTACAGTATCATATCTGAGTCGAGTGTTTCGTTTATTCCCCTCAAATGCAGCGGGAGAGCCAATCTTTACAACTGTACAGGGGGACTTAATGGACATCCTGTGTGCCGCTTCAATAAAAATAAAAATAAAAATAAAAATAAAAGCACTCTGATTATTGTGCCTCCTCGAGCCAGGGTAATATCTTTTTTTTTCTGAACCGCTCATTACATTGTCCGCAATCGTAACAATTTGCATATCAGTAGAAATGTGTCTTCATCCAACCCTCTAATGATACGCAATTCGCCATCATCGCGAAATGGTCTGATGAGCAATTAGTGAAGAGAACACAGGAAACAGGAGATTCCTTTCTTTGAAAGGAATATCATAACCGCTGTATGACCGTTATCTCTTTGTTCCTCCTTGTTATAATACCTCTTGACTTACTTTTTGCATATTTTGCGAGGGTTGGGACGGCTCACATGGTGGTGATATTCATATACAGTATAATGACCCTTTGAGTGCCCCCGGTCGCTCGCTCTTTCAAGAATGCTGGAAAATCTCCAAAAATGAGAGAGAAGAGGCAAAGTAAAGATGCGTACGGATTTCGGGAGAGGGAGGAAGGAAGAAGAGAGGAAGAAACACTAGGAAGGTGGGACAGCGGTTTCACCTTTGAGATGCTTGGAGGGGGGGGGGGGTATGTGCTTGGTTTCGAATGGTTTCTTGTGTTGATCACAGTCGGACTTTTTTGACAAGCTCCGTATTTGTGAACTAGTACGAATCTCGTGGACGAATGGACTTTCATTTTCGTCGACGATGACGACGACGAGAATGAAATTGCAGCTCATGACGAAATAACGGAAATTGACGTATGACGAAAATTCACGCTTGACCGGGACGGAAACTCAAAGGTAATAGCTCCTCTAATCGATCCTTCGCTCGGGACCCATCCTCGTCATTTCTGACATTCGGGGCGATGACACAACAGATCCTCTTCTGGATTGCATAGCATACCCGAGCCGGAATCGACAGCACCGCTGTACCAAACGTACGACCGGAAGGGCTCTAAGGCCAAGCAACAAGACGCATGGTCCACTGGTCCAAGGCTTGGTCCACTGGTCCGAGGCTTGGTCCACTGCAGTCTCTGTTTTTGTGGCAACATAGAGTGCATTTCACCGACGAAAAATGTGACGAAAGTTTTCGCCGACGAAGTGATTTTCACTTTCGCCGACGATGACGACGAGAAGAAAACATGAAAAATGATGAAAATTGACGAATATTCACGTGTGACTGAGTGATTTAAATTAAAAAAAAATGGCTAGCAATATTAGTAAATGAGACAGATACGATGACTAAATTGAAATTAGTCTGACTGAATTAACATCGTTGTGATCCCTAGAGAAAGTCTTGCGGATGAAAAGTCTTGCAATGGAGTAGAACGAAAATATTGCAGCAGCATATACGCCATTGAGTGATAGTGAAATCCGTCCCAATCGGTGTACGAGATGATGAAATTGAGTCGTATAGGGAAATATTGGCAAAACTATGCCCCATTCAAGCTAAAGTTTTCTTTATTATTTAATATTAAGGTCATTCAGGGTAAGTACGACCAGTACTCCATTTTGATACGTAAAAATGAAAGGTTTCACCAGCAAGGCCATAAAGGAAGTTTTCTGAGTTTTATGGATTTTTTTTTGCATTTGCATATCCAAATTCCGCTGATTCAACTGAGGTAATTTTCAAGCTATTCGACTGCCTAGCCGAATCGCCTCGTCTGCCACATGCTCGCTTTCGGCGCGCGGGTGAATGAAAGGCAATTTCGCATGTAAAAAAAAAAAATGTCGAACAATGACCGGTATTTAAAGAATGCGTGGCCTTTAATTAGATGCAGCACGTTCACCAAATGTCTCCTGGTCCGTAACTAACTATCCTTGCGAACAAACAAAGCACGACATTCGAAATGACTAGCATTCGCCAGCTTCAATTAAGTTTCATGACGAGCGAAAATATGGAATATGACGACAAGCAATTTTATTGTCAATACGCTGGAGAAAAAGCAGCTCGCTTACTCAAGATAACGGCATTGACGCGCGTCACCCAGTAACGCCATTCTCGAATTCTCACGATGAAATCCTTTCCAGGGAACAGGAAATTTCATTCAGATTCCCTCGGGAGGCAACCACGGGGGAAGTCGGCTGACCTCCATCCGCTCGACTCGAATCGGAAGCAAATTCTTTTTTTTTTCTTTATTTTTTGCAATGTGCTAGTTGTGCGTCGGCATAGATAAGGTTTTTGTTAGCAGCTTTTCCAGTCGCTCACCGGGCCGAAAGAATCGCTAGCATTTTCATAAGCTGCACGAAATGCTTAGGAAGTTGTAAGTCTTCCATGAAACGCCTGAAACCATCGGCCAATTAATAAAATAACGGTTACATAATTTGCTGCGTTATTCAGCATTTCTTGAACTGCCAACACAATTCATAAATTACAGATTTCAGTATTTCGGATTCTCCGAAATGTTCTTTAAGCAATTTACAGCACGTCTTCATTTCCTTTATTCTGAAGCTGTTAGTTTCTTAGTTAAAGCTGGTACTAGACTAGTTGAGTAACCTCATCTTGCCCCCCCCCCTGCCCCCCAGCCCCCCTGCCCCCCCAGCCCCCCAGCCCCCCTCCACCCAGCCCATCTTAAGTGCTCATAAAGTTGAGTTCACCCTACTTTTACGGTTTCATTCAGAATGAATGCATGTCTGACCAGCATAGCAATAAATAAAAAAAAGAACGGAGGTCCTGTCGACTTGAACTTGTGCTGTGCATCACTGGCACGAGCCCCTCGGCAACACTGGCACGAGCCCCTCGGCAACACTGCAGTCTCTCCCTCCGCGCCCGTGGCACAGTTCGCTTCGTATCGTACCTCCCGGATATTTTTTTTTTTTTTACAAGCTAATATGGTTTCTGGGTGGGATGAGCAGAACTCCCGTTACTTGTTATCGCAAATATCGGCGGGTTTCCATGGAAACTGATGGGGAACATCCGGAACATCTGGCTCCGAGCATGGAATGGCGTCGCCGTCCGCATCACAATAATTATATCGATAAAATTCCCTCTGAACACGTTTCCCCGTTGACACAAAGGAGAAAAAGTTCGGATGTCTTTCATTCATTATTTTTTGCTACTTTATGAATTGCTTTATAGTCCAAGAGAACGGATTTAAGATGGAAAGAAGAGAAAGACGTACCTCAGCTTGAGATATCTCGTAGCATTCGGCGATCTTCTGGTAGAGTTCCTTCACGTTCGAGAAGCCAGAGATGATGCCGGTGGGGCTGCCGTGAGCCAGCTGGCAGTGGAAGGAGACCTTAGGCCTTTGCACCTCGACGGTCGGGGCCTTGTCCACGCGCTGCTTGAGGGCCGGGCTCGCGGGGGGGGTGCCCTTGAGGGAGCCGTTCGTTTTTGGGTGGGCGAGGGGGTCGCCGTTCGTCAGGTGGTCGTCCTTCTTCTTCGTTTTTCCGCGGAACATGGTCGCGGTGCACGGGGGGAGACGGGGGGTGACGGGGAGTGACGGGGAGTGACGGGGCGAGACGGGGCACACGGGGAGAAACGGTGGGATTCACGGGGATTCTGACTCGCACACTCGCGAAACCGCTTATCGCATCCGATAACGAGGGTGACTCAGGTCATATCTCGGGCATATTCGATCCTCGCACCCATACGAGTGCGCCGAGAGAGACTCGAACGACCCGCGAGAGAGAGCGAGTGAGAGAGAAGAGCGAAGAGAGAAGCAGCTCCTGCTGCTGCTGCACTGCCAGGTGAGTGTGAAGAGGAAAGGAGAGAAAGCCCCCGCGTGTTCCGCTCTCTTGACCAAATGACAACTCATGCATGCACTGTTATGTGCACCGTCGCTCCGTGGCCAGACGCAGGAAATCCGGGCATGGGGTCTTCCAATTTTTTTTTTTTGTTATCTATCGACCGAAGAGACATCTGGTGTTTGCCCTTTCGAAGCAACCACTCGACGTTTCTAGGATCATCGAGTCGGATTCCGTTTTTTTTTTTTTTCATTTTTCATATGGAGACTTTCGGGTCCGAAATTCGACTTCTCTCGAGCTGCCGACGGCAATCTGTCGGATCGGATTTCCCGCGAGCGTGAAAGAGACAAAAGTGCGAGCCGGAAATTCCTTTCTGAAATCCTCACGAAGAA